ATTTTCTCCCTTACAGTGTTGTTTTAAATATTATATTGGTTGGTACTTATAAGATGCTTGGAATGCCTGGCACATTCTAAGAATTCATTAAATGTTAACCCTTATTTTCTTTTGCTCATAAAAAGCTTCCTAAGATAGTATCATTCATTTTTCTAAGTCCTTGTTAGTCTGTGTTATAATTTCCTGAGCATTTATAGGAGTTGGAATTAGGCCTTTTCTCTGATTTCTCCCGTGGTACCCTGTGTATGGACTTGATTTTTTTCTAGGGTTTAATTTCTCCTCCTGCAAATGTGTGTATTGAAACCACCTTAATCCAAAAAGGTTTTGCTTCGGTGTATATGTTGCACTGTGTTGTAGAAACACAGTAAACTCATGTTTTGTGTAGATAATTAAAAGAATGAAATGTTCCAGGCAATGAAATATTTTTGTTAGAAGATAGTAAACATTTAAAAAGAATTAGAATGCAGTAAAATACACTTAACCTAATTACACAAGGGAAAATAGGGTTGTAGAAACAGCAGTCTGGTATTGACCTGGGACTTAATCTTAGCTCTGCCACTTACTGGGTGATGTGCAAGTTGCTTTCTTAACTCTCTGGGTCTCATTGTCTATTGTCACGATCATCACAGTTGTTGTCAATAGCACTGGGGAAGGGTCTGGACACTAACTTTTTGTTCTGATTCTAGTACCAACTGGTTATATTGCTTTCCAGTGGTTCTCAATCTTCTGGCCCTTTAAATAAGTTCCTCATGTTGTGACCCAACCATAAAATTATTTTCGTTGCTACTTCATAACTGTAATGTTGCTACTGTTATGAATCGTAATGTAAATATCTGAAATGCAGGATGGTCTTAGGTGACCCCTGTGAAAGGGTCGTTCGACCACCAAAGGGGTCACGACCCACAGGTTGAGAACCGCTGCTTTAGACAAACCACTTCCCTCTCTGTTTCATGGTTTTCTCATAACATAAGGCAGTGATGGCGAACCTATGACACGCGTGTCAGAGGTGATATGCGAACTCATTCTTTTGGTTGATTTTTCTTTGTTAAATGGCATTTAAGTATATAAAATAAATATCAAAAATATAAATCTGTGTTTTACTATGGTTGCAAATATCAAAAAATTTCTATATGTGACACGGCACCAGAGTTAAGTTAGGGTTTTTTAAAATGCTGACAGGCTGAGCTCAAAAGGTTCGCCATCACTCACATAAGGGGATTATAATAGACCTTCCCAACCCTATGCATGCTGGCGCTGGAGGTGCTGAAGACGGGTTACAGATAGGTTGATGCCCTCAGCCCCTGAGGCAGCTGTGCAAAATCTGGGGTAGCAGGACTAACTCCCTGTGCTGGTCTCCTCAGGGCTGAGCAGCCTTGTTCATTTTTTTTCCCAAACAAAACAAAAACAAACCTTAGCTTTTAGTTTTATTGATCTATTTTGCTGACTTTTTAGTCTCCATGTCTTTCATTTCTACTCTGATCTTTGTTATTTCCTTCCTACTACTAACTTTGGGCTTAGTTTATTCTTTTCTAGTTTTTTAAAGTAAGGTTGCTTTTTTAAGATCTTCATTTTTTCATAATATATGCATATATTGCTAGAAACTTTCCTCTTAGGACTACTTTTGCTGCATCCCATAGTTTTTATATTTGTGTTTTCATTTTCATTTGTCTCATCATTCATATATATATACATAATTTCTCCTCTGATCCATTGTTTGTTCAGGAGCATATTGTTTAATCTCCATGTATTTGTACATTTTCCAGTTTTCTTATTGTAATTTATTTCTAATTTCATAGCATATGGTCATAAAAGATGCATGATGAGATTTCAATCTTCTTAAATTTATCAAGATTTGTTTTATGGCCTAACATATGATCTATCCTGGAGAATGTTCCATGCGCACTTGAGAAGAATGCATATTTTGCTGCTGTTGGGTGGAATGCTCTGTAGGTATCTGTTAAGTCCATCTAGTACAATGTTTCTTTGTTAATTTTCTGTCTTAATGATCTGTCCATTATTGAAGATGGGGTATTGCTGTCCCCTTCTATTGTTATATTGCTGCCTATTTCTCCCTTTAGATCTGTTAATATTTGCTATATATATTTAGTGGCTCCTATGTTGAGTGCATACATATTTATAAAAATTATATCTCCTCAATGAATTGATATATTTATCATTATAAAATGACCTTCTTTGTCTCGTTACAATCGTTGGTTTTAAATCTATTTTGTCTGGTGTAAGTATAGTTTCCCTAGCGTGTGTGTGTGTGTCCATTTGCATGGACTATCTTTTTCCATTCTTTCTCTTTCAATATATATAGCCTTAAAGCTGAAGTGAGTTTCCTGTAGGCAGTTTGTAATTGGGTTTTATTTTTGTTTCATTAAAACATTAAGCTGCTCTATGTCTTTTTATTGGCCATCCAGCCATTTAGAAATGAGATCAAGCAACTGTTCTTCACATGGTAGTGGGATTTGGGATTAAAAAAAACACTTTTGACAAGTACCCTGTACTTTATTATTAAAATTTAGCATTTTATGCACAAAAGGCATAAATAATAATATATTATTATGGACTTGCCTTGCTTAAGTAGAGCCACACAGCAGGAATTTTAAAAGACTTTGTTGGAACTGTGAATTATTAGTCATCCCTTTTCTTTTGTTTCCCTGGTAATGTTTGGCCTGTGCCCCTCCTCTCTGTCTTTGTCTCTAGATTTAGATTTGGGGACTCCATAGCCTCAAATGGGGCATGGTTTTTTATTTGTTTATTTTGAATTATTTTATTCTTTTGCACCCCTATTATTTGTACTTCATGGGTATGGGGGAAGGTATGACCAAGGCTTAGCACTGTCATGAGGAGAAGAGTTGGGATGGATGATAAGATTGAGAAGATGCTACATTTTGTTGTTCCCTAAGGCAGTGGAGCTGGTCCTTACTCGTGTAATTTCAGAGGTACGGAAAACTCCTTTCTTACTAATGGATATGATCCTTTACATTTCATCCCAGGACAAAGATCCCCCTTGGAAATCTTGGTCCCCTTTCAAATATGAACAATTCAGTGTGGGGCAAAGCATGAAGATTAAAATTCTAGATGGCACTGGAAAGGAACTTTACCATCTTCTAGAATAGGGCTTTTCATAATGTGGGTCCTCTGAGTTCCTTTCAGGATGTCCATGTTGACATTTACACCAAAGATCCAAAAACAATCTGGCATCTAGTTTGAATAAAGGCAGTTCTATCAAATCACATCAGTAGTTGTGTATTCTTAATCATTATATACTTGCATCTATCCATACACACATGCACATGTATGCTCGTTTTATGTAAGAATGTCCTTGAAGCAGTAAAACTTATTAATTTCACTGGATTTTGACCATGAGTATATGTCTTTTTAATCTTCTATATGATAAAATAGGAGGTGCACATAAAGCATGTCTGAGGATACTAAAGAATGATGGTTGATGGTTGTCTCAGGAAAAAGTACTTTTGTGATTCAGTTGTGAGCTGAACTTGCCACTTTTTTCATGGAACTAATTTTTTCTTGACAACCAACGGACAAAATATGGTTATTCAGACTTCAGTGTTTGGCAGACATTTTCTTTTAAAAAAAATGCAGGAAGCCTGCTTCTTTAAGAAAAACAACTGACAGTATTTATTACCAATGATAAAATTTAAGCTTTCAAACAAAAAAATAGAATTTTGGAGAACTCCTATTTGTCACCATGAGCTTGACAGCTTTCCAATATTTGAAGACTTTTCTGATGAGATTGGTGGTAATATTAATGAATATAATGTTTTGATATTATATAATGAAAAGTGTCAAAATGTGGAAGATCTGAATAACTCAGTGTTCCCATATTTTCCGGATGACTAATGCATGATGTTACAAAATAAGAAGGATAGAAAGATCTACTCAAAGAACAATGTGTAACATTGGATTTTAATGTAACAGAGGAGGAGTTCATTGATATGGGTTGAGATTGCACACTGGAACTAACCGTTAAGAAACCATGTTTGTTGAGTTTAGTATGGCCCCATAGAACAATATCTACAACTATCCTAACAGATGAGTGCAGAAGCAAATTTGACTATGCAAAATAAGAAGGATAGAAAGATCTACTCAAAGAACAATGTGTAACATTGGATTTTAATGTAACAGAGGAGGAGTTCATTGATATGGGTTGAGATTGCACACTGGAACTAACCGTTAAGAAACCATGTTTGTTGAGTTTAGTATGGCCCCATAGAACAATATCTACAACTATCCTAACAGATGAGTGCAGAAGCAAATTTGACTATGCAGTCCTCACCTGCTCAGCTAGACAGTGAAGAGATCTGCAAAATGCAGTGATGCCTCTTTTCCTGCTGAATTAGTTTTGTTTCAGAACATACAGTTATTGTCATAAAAATGTGTTATTTATGTGATATGTAATATAAAATACATAATTATTTTTCTCAGTTTTTATTTCGAAAATGGCAATTATCAATAGATGTAAGCCACATAAATATGGAGGATTCAATCAATTTGAAGAGTGTGAAGGGGTCCTGAGACCAAAACGTTTGAGAACTGTTGTTCTACACCAACATCTGACTTTACAAAGAGGTAACTGAGGCTATAACAGGTGATGTTATCCACCCACATGGGGCCAACTGTGACTAGACCCTATCTCTGAAAACCACTATTTGCATTGCTTGTTTCCCTTACTACACTACTACCATGACGACCTTCACATGAACGAGGTGGTCAGCTACGCTCCAGTGAGAAAGGTTTGGAAAGTAAGTTATGATGGAGGTCAGCTGAGAAAGCCTTTCTCACAGCCCGGGGAATGAGAGGCCAGGGGAGGCCAAAGGGCCTCCTTCAGGCAGTGGGTGCATCCATCTGGAGCTGTGGGCTGAGAGCAGATGAGCAGGTTCCAGGGGAGGAAGAACATGACCTACTGCGGACTGCGTGCCTCTTTTCCAGAATACAATGAGCTTTTCCTTATCCCTTGACCTTTCCTCCAGGGAGTTTGCCCGTTGGAAAGTGAACAACTTGGCTCTGGAAAGGAGGGACTTCTTCAGTTTGCCATTGCCTCTTGCCCCAGAGTTTATCCGGAACATCCGCCTCCTGGGAAGGAGACCCAACCTGCAACAGGTTACCGAAAACCTGATCAAAAAGTACGGCACCCATTTCCTACTTTCTGCCACCCTTGGAGGTAAGCAACACCGTGATCCTGCGTGAATTGTTGCCAGGTTGTTGAAAATAGCTTTAAAGCCCACTGAGTATAGCTTCCATACTAGTAGTCTTCCTGCATCTTTAGTTTTTCCTGGCCTATTATTGCCTGAGAATTGTCTCCTTTCTGGTGCCTTTGAGAACAGTATAGCTTCTTAATATCCAAATTCACTCCAGAACATTGCTGTTACCTTCTCAGCATTTTCCTGAGGAGGAGGATGGGATAAAGAGTTTGGGGGACACACAGACTCCCATCAAGACCTTGCCAGCAGTGGGTGCTCTCAGTTTCCTTTTGACTGAGCCAATCAACCCTGAAGCTTCTCCACATCCCTACATTTGCTGTGGCTACAGTTGCCAGGCCCATGGGCAAAGAGGGAAATGTCTATTGAATCCCTGCCCCCTGCTTCCTCTTTATATAGACGAGTAACCAGACACACCAATTCTAATAATTCTGAGCTGGATGGAGGTTAGAGGCAGAGTTCTCTCTGTTCCGGCAGAAGAAAACAGGATTTATTATAACATTTAGCTCACTGTCTGACGGACAAAAAAAGAGCTCTCTGAGGGGTCAGGCCAGCTGCCGCATGTGGTAGGTGTTGAGTGTTTGAGTGGAAAGGGCCCTTTAAACTTCTAGGCTTCTGTCCTTTAGGAGGGAGCATACATATCCATGGCAACTTCTCATAAACAACTTAAGAGGAAGAATTTTCTGTCCTCCAAGGAGGTGGATGCCTGAGATAGAGATCAAAAGAGGATGTTAAATGGATAAGCTGGATGACAAGGGGGAGCTCTGGGGAGACATACGGAACTAAGGAAAGGAAGGAGGACCTCTCAGGTGTGATGCCTGCTGTCCTATGACACAGTCTGCTGAGATTTTTCTAAATATGATAAGGGACGGGGAAGAGGCCGTCCACAGAAGTACTGGGCTCCTTCTTAGCTATGTCTATTCTGGCCAAACATTTCATTCTTAATGGTAGGGGAGGAGGGAGCAGAAGGCCTCATCAATGAACCCATGTTGTTTGCTATAGGAGAAGAGTCCCTGACCATTTTTGTGGACAAGCGGAAACTGAGCCGAAAGACAGAAGCAGCAGGAAGTGCCCCTACAGTTGGGGGCAGTGGGAACAGCTCCGCCGTGTCCCTGGAGACCCTGCATCAGCTGGCAGCCTCCTACTTCATCGACAGAGAGAGTACCCTGAGGCGGCTGCACCATATCCAGATAGCCACAGGGGCCATCAAGGTAAAGGTCTGAGAGGCACTGGGGAGGCGAGAGTCTTAACCAACTCCAAGTCGGCCAGGCCTGACCGATTGAGGGGGAAGGAAGTTTTCTTATAGAAGCAGAGTCAAGCCTAAACATGGTCCAGGTCTTCATTCTGCAGCAAACAGTCATGTAGATCTGCTCTGAAGCTGACTCCAGCCGAGGGACTATATATAGACAAAGGGAGACAAGGTCCCTGCTCCCCCAAGGTTACATTGTAGTAGGGGATAGAGATTATAAATAATTAAATATCAGCAAAGTAATTTCAGATAATTATGAAATTAGAAGAGTCATAAGGTACAGATTTTTCTGGGGTGAGAGAAGGGAGCAGATAATATTCACCAGATTGGTCAGGGGAGGACACCTTTGGTCTCTATATGGAGATCTGAATGAAAAGAAACCAGCTGTATGTAGATCTGAGGGAAGAGTGTTCAGGCAGAGGGAACAGTAAGTGCTGAGGCCCTGAGGCAGGAATCAGCTCGGTGCTTTGGTGGAACACAGAGAAGAGTACTGTGACTACAGTGAGATGAACAAGAAAGGTGCTGGTACAAGATGAGGTTCAGAAGTAGGTTGGAGCCAGATTACATGGCCATGATAGAGAACTTCAAAGTACAATGGAAGACAACCAGAGAGTTTGGAGCAGAGGAGCAATATGACCATACATGTTTGGAAAAGATCAATATTATTGTAACTTTAGTAACTATAACCTCCATCCCACTATCTCTACTTACATCTAGCAGAGTTTGAGGAAAGTTCATATTGTTTTAGAGAAGAGAAGACTAGTGAGAATACTTGAGAATACTGGATTTTTAGAATTCAAAATATAAAATTAGGGTGGCAAATAAGGGTCAGTCTCATCTTATATCCTGCCTTTATCCTACCCAAAATTCATAAGGAAGTCCTGTTTTATTTATTTATCATTCAATAAATATTTTGAACACCTCCTATGTGTCAGTCACTCTTCTGGATACTGAGAATCCAAGAGTGAACAAAACATATTAAGTCCATGATCTCATGAAGCATAAATTCTAGTAGTGGAGACATAATTAAATAAATATGCCATGTCAAGTGGGATTATTGATATGAAGAAATGAAACCAGGGAAAAGAGGGTAATGGAGACCTAGTGCTTTAGGGATTATCTGTCTAGAGCAGCTGTTCTCAACCTGTGGGTCGCGACCCCTTTGGTGGTCGAATGACCCTTTCACAGGGGTCGCCTAAGACCATCCTGCATATCAGATATTTACATTACGATTCATAACAGTAGCAACATTACAGTTATGAAATAGCAACAAAAATAATTTTATGGTTGGGTCACAACATGAGGAACTGTATTTAAAGGGCCAGAAGGTTGAGAAGCACTGGTCTAGATGAATGTTATTTAAGCAGACATTTGAATGAGGTGATGGAGTAAGCCACATGGGCATCTTGAGAGAGAGCATTCTAGATGGAGGGAAGAGCAAATGCAATTGCCCTAAAGTGGGAGTGTTCTCGGTGGAACACCATATGAGGTGGAGTCAAAGAGGGGGTGAAGTGGGAAATGGCATAAGTGATTGTAGGCACAAGATCATGAGCATTACTTATTAGCGACTGTTGCAGTGGTCGAGGTGAGAAATCATGGTAGCTTGCTCGGACACAGCTGGCTATAAGTAAGCAGTGAGAAGTTGGCAGATTTAGAATGTATTTTGAAGACAGAGCCTACAGGACTACTCATGAATTGGAAGAAAGGAATCCAGATTAACAGCAAGATTTTTGGCCTGAGCAACTGGATGAACAGCGATTCCATTTGCTAAGAAAGGATCACCCTGGGGGAGGTGCAGATCTGAAAGGAGTGAATCAAGAGTTTGGTTTTCAACATATCGAACTTGACATTTCTATTAGACATCCAAGTAGAGATGTTCCAAAAACAGGCTTCCAAGGATGGTGGTCCCTTTTGATTATCCAGCATGTTCCTCTGAGAGCAAGGTGGACCCGGATCAGCACACACCTCTACTATTGGGCGTGGCACATTATGCTACAGCTGTTTACATGCCCATCTCGTCTCCCACACCCATCACGACAAGATGGCTTAGAGTAGTGGGACTGCGGAGTGCACACAGTTCTGGGTCCCTTCACAGTATCTGGCACAGTAAGGCCAATCAAATGCTCAATAGGTGACAGTGGGCTGCATGGTTTAGTGAGAAACAAACTTACTCAAGTGAGATTTGGGATTGGGTTTCAGCCTAGATGCTTCCTATCTTTATGACCTTGAGGAGTCACTGAGCTCCTTGATATGGAGCTCAATCGTTTACCAACGATTTGACTTACCTAGACCCAGGCTTATATTCAGTTGCGATGGCTACATAGTTACTAAAATATTAAAACACTTCCATCCTGGCTGATAAACGGTCTTCACCACACCGCCCTGTGTGCCACCCTAACCATCTCACCCTTCCCTGGACCCTCCAGATTCCCCCCTGGTAGTAACCAAAGGGCTAATGCACCTCAGGAGGCTTCCAGAACCCTACTTTGGCATACCCTGTCCTTCCTGCCACAAATATTGTGAATATAATCCTTGACTCTCGGCTGGAGTGACACCAAATGATATAGTTCACATGAAAACACTTTGTAAACTATAAAGGGCTGACTACATATCCATCCTGCCCATAAGTGTCAGGATCGGATCAGAGGCATGAAGGAGGGGAGGGGGCATGTTCTTCAGTTGCAACTCACCCTCTATTTAATCAAAGGCTGAGGAAGGACTTGGTGCGGGGTGGCTCAAGATGCTCCGGAGCCCACACAAAGTTCAGGTGGATCCCGAGATGGCAAAAGGAAGTGGTTCTCACAAAGCATCCCAGGAGGGCTTTGTACAAATTGCTCACAGCAGCAGCCTTCGATTCAGTTTGCAGATCTTTTTGGCACACTTGGCGTTGGCCCTGCTCTCCCAAGCAGCCCCACTGCTCACAATTAGAAGCCCATTTTACTCACTCTCAGCTCGGCAGGTGTCCTATCTGGTAGGACAAGAGCAGCCGGAAGTGAAGGGCAAGGGGAGGAGAGTAGGCGGCTAGAATGGTATATATAAAAAACTGGATGTGCTAATGAACCTGAGATCCATCAGGGCGTTCTGATGGCAGGCTGGTCTCTGTCAACAGACCAATTAGCACACAATTATTTCCCCTTTCTGAAAGCTTATCTGAGACACTCTGAACGTGTGCGCCTGAGTGAACTGCATTTTCCATTACCTCTGTGGGCCCTCTTTATAATCTGCCCGAGCTGCCTGCCTCTTCTACAGAGAGAGGCACAGGGCTCTCTGGACCAACTCTGCAGACTCTGGGACTCCATCACTGGGGGGAGGGGGCCTTAGGCCATCCTGCTTATTAAGTCCATGCTTAGGCACTGTCTGCAAGAGCACCCTCTCCAGTGCCCTTTCTCCTCCTCCTTACTTGTCTAGGGAGGACAGAGGTGACTCAGAGCAGAATAGCAGTGGGAAGAGCAGTGACTTTGGGATCTAGTAAAATCATAGTGAACCTTCCTCCCTCTTGGAGAGCAGGCCTGATCATTCCCTCTAACAAGAAATGAGCTTGGGGATCATGGTCATTGTCACTTCCTCATTCCTATCCTTGTGCCACAATTAATAAAGTGAAGCTACTCACACTCGCTCAGTGAATTACCTAGCTGATTGTCCTCTGTGGAAATTACCTTTGTTAATAGCAAAGAGAAGGTCAGAAAGACAATCCGAGGCAGCCCAGAATGCTAACAGGATGGTGGGAAGGCAGATGGATGGGTGGTAGGGAGGAAGGCTTACTGGTGGGACTAAGGACAGGAAGGTGGCTGTTCTAGGTTTTCCTCCTTGGGAGTCATCCTGTTCCTACATAAAGTGTGTAGCTCCCTCTCTGCCTAGACCTGATGCTGGTGAATGGACCAGCTTAGCGGTGGGTGGATAGAAAATCCAGTGCAGAACTATGTGACAGTGTGATGCCAGCTTGCCTGGAGTTGGGGAGGGGTAGGTCTTCCAAATACCACACCCACCATCTTACCCAGCCCTTCAACCCAAGCCATTCCATTGGGGGCAGGCTTCTCCAGAACAGGTGAGCTAGTCCTTAGCCATGGCTCTTCTTACAGGGATTTTCATACCATATGGATAAAGAAAATTTCACTTGATATAAGGCAATGTTCAGCCTTCCAGTTCAGTCTGGCAACTCACCACTCACTCACTCACTCACTCACTCACTCACCCAATGCAGCCCTTAGTGCCCACCTATTGAGGGACACAGGCCCATGTATAACAGCCAGAACTTGGGGATTATGGAAACATGTTTCCACTTGTCTATGCGTTCTTGTGGCAGTGATTGGGGCTTATACTCTGTGAGTTCTGATCGCTCCTTGAATATTTGTTAAATGAAAAAAATAAGTAAATGAATAATTAAGTTGGATGAATCCTAGCCCAGCAGGTGACTAGCTGTGTTACCTTGAATAAGTCATTTAAGCTCACTGGCCTGGGCTTCCTAATTTATAATATAAGGGTCCTCCAATCTCAAGGCTATACAGTTTGTTTTGCCTCAGGTTCACATTCGGAGAAGAAGGCAAATCACTAAAAGATGCTGTTTAAAGTAATTGTTTTTAACATTGATGCCATCTAAAGGGGTTTAACTCTATTTTCTGCAGTCTGTTGACATGCCCTCACAGGAGACACAAGGGCACCAAACTGGAGTCTGGAGACTCAAGGGTTAAAATCCTGTTTGGGCTACTCAACAGTGTGGAACCTTGGGGTCCTCCTTTGGAGAGTGACAGTACTGAGATTTATCTCAGAGAGTTACTGTGAAGGTGAAAAAGAATGATATTGGAAGATGAACTTGGAAAACTGTTGTTCCTACCTTGTCTGGTCTTGTGTCCCATTCATGTACTGTGTATATCCTTGCCCCTTGGTCTTTGGACCAACTCTGCAGACTCTGGGACTGAGGTACCTCCTTTTCTCTCAGTTCCCTCCCCATTCCATCCCACCCCTACTCATCCTTCAAGACCAATGTCTGGCTCTGGCTCACCTTCTTCATAAAGCCTTCCTTGACTACTTTAAGTTACAAATATCTCTCCTGTCTCTCATCCCACTGTATTTCAAGTCATTATCATACCAGCTTTCACTTGATTACTCTGATATATATATATGTATTAAGCCTAAGTATGCTAAATTCCCTTTAAGCATGTTGCTTATACTTTGGTATTCACACGGTAACCAGAAGAGAGCTAGAAATATACACTTTGAACCCATATGTATTACATCATGTTGCCCCTTCTTTTTCTCAGAGTACCTTTCCCTCACTTCTCTTCCTGTCCACTTTCTACTTATCTTTAAGGACCAACTCGGTTGGTTTCTTCTCTGCTACTTCTTCCCTTGTTTTCTCTTTGTTTAAAACTATACTTCCCTCAGTAGCCATGACATACTGCTTCTGCTAGACTTGAATGTGTAGCAGTCAGTTGTATATATACCTAACCCCCACTACAGGTATAGATGAGGACTTGGAGGAGGGTAGTTGATTGTAATCTCCTGGACAATACAGTATATAATGTGTATATCTTTGTGCTCACCCTCTCTTCCCCTTAAAGCCTGAAACCTATCACTCATAAATTCTCTAATTTACTGAGTACCTGCTATGTGCCAGGCACTGTGTTAACAGCTGCTGACAATATGAACTTACTTTGTGGAGCCTTTGGTGTGTGGAGGACCCAGACATTATGAAATATTCACAGCAAAGGATGGAATAGGGTGGCCTGCCTGCCTGCTGCTGAGCAGAGGTGCCCAGAGCTCGGAGAGGGGGTGAGAGGTATCAGGGCAGACTTCGTGGAAGAACTTTGGGAAAGGCACACTATGAATATTTGATGAACTGCATGGAATTGAAATGGTGGCTGCTCAATAAATACTAGTTCATTGGTTGATTGATTGTGGGAAAAGCCTTCAGAGATTCTGAGAAGAAAGGGCCTCAGGTCCCCATCGTTCTTATTACATAATTATTTCAGTGCATTTAAAGCTCCTCATTTTTCATCTTATACTTTAAACATCAGGGAAAAACTGATAGGCCAACTTTATAATATTTTAAAATGGCTCTGATGTTTTGGAATATTACATGGCTATAAGACTTTATGTATATTTAATATACTTAGTAAAATATGCAGTAAGCCCATGGCTGATTTTCTCTAAGGACTTCTCAGTGCCGAGGTGGGACTTAAATGTTTAATACTAATAATAATACTCATAACTCATATTTCTCTAGTACTTTTCATCTTAGGGATCCGTGAAGCCTGTCAGCACCACAGTGATTGGCTGCATTTGGGCTCACCAGCAGGCTGACGGCATCCACATCTGGTCTCCTGTCTCCCTCCAGGGAGGGGAGGGTCCAGCTTAAAGATCCAGCTTCCTCTGCCTATATTGAATTTTCTCTTCCCCGACACAAATTCTTTCTGGCTCCCTCTGACAGACTGCCTCTGTGTAGAACTGTTGCTTCCAACCATGCCCCACAGATAGTCACTATCTTAGGACAAAGAAGAAGAGTGGTGTTATGCTCTGGGGGTGGGGGAACACATGCCATTCCTTTGGCTAGTCAGGACAGGACACAGAGCCTGAGATGGATGACTGGAGAGAGAAGGGCAAAGGGAGTCTCCCCTTGTTATGTAAACCCACGCTCTGCCCTTCCTGCTCTAGGTCACGGAGACCAGGACCGGCCCTCTGGGCTGCAGCAACTACGACAATCTGGACTCAGTCAGCTCAGTCCTGGTGCAAAGTCCGGAGAACAGAGTGCAGTTACTCGGTAAGCTGCACAGGGATGGTGTTCACACTCCTCACACCTGGTAAAAGGTGTGGATCCCGAGGGAGCAGGGAAAAGTCCTGCCGGCCCTGCCCATTTGCTCACCCCCTTTTAAGACAAGAATGACCGAGAGTTCTGGGATTGGTAGTTAACAACTTTCCATCATTCATTTGAGAAAACTTCTGACATGATTTGCCCCACACCCAAGACCAATGCTTATACCACTCAACACCCCGAATCCAAAAATGCTGTCACTGTCCTACAGCAACAACGCATCCATCTTTATATGCCTTGACCTCATTCAGCAATCTCCTTTCTTGTCCAAAGAAGCCTCTGCTTTGTCCTGAGAACACACTGGAAACAGCTGGCCTTTGCAGAATGGTTATGGGGCCACCATCTCTAGCTCAATTAAGAACTATACAAACCGTGGGACCACTGGTTACCCTGAAAGTAGTGCCCTGCTTTCTGTTATTAGTCAGTGATCTTCCATGGGAGATCAAAGCTAGGAGGAAAGTGTGAGAGGAATGGGATCCTCAACTGAAGACAGAGCAGCAAGCAGGAAAACGGGAACGCCAGAGGAAAGGGAACTCCACTAGGTCAGGAGGCTGGAGATGGGCGGCATCACTCCTGCTGTCTGCCCCGTAGGCACGCAAACTGAGTCAGAGCTGTTTGCTAGTGGGAAAAGTTCATTTTTCTTAAGGCCTAACTGAATTGGACTCTGCTTAAGATATTATTGTCTCTGTATTATAAAATCAATAGCCCTCACCCAGGATCTACGATTACAAATTCCAGGCAACCTAAGCTGGATGCAACCCATAAATGCTTTAGGAATCAAGGAATAAATGATAAAGAGGAGTAAAAGACTCCTTAGCTGGCACCTAAGGCAGTTAGCATCCCTCTTCTCCTACATCCCTGGGTGGGCTGGGCTGGTGTCTGGAAATTAGCAACGAGGGAAGTTCAGAATGTCTGGTGGTTCATTTGGAATAGTTTATGCCATTTAATTTTATAGCCCATCACTCATGCAGACATTGCTCCGGGCACTTATTTTATAGCAGTGGGAAATGTTATGGTGAGGCAGAGGGAGGTGATAGGAGAGGTGAAAGGAATGGACTTGCAGAGGGGTGGGTGTTGAGAGCACGCCTATGGACAGGGAGTGTGGGGAGGGCAGTTCTAAGGCCCCTACAGGCACAACATCAAGGAAGGAAAATTCGGGAGCAGTCCAGAATGGGAGGGAGGCCTTAGACAAAAACACCAAACATCCACTGCAGCTGCAATTCTAACATATTTTGAATTGCTGAGACTGGGATATATACTTTGGGCTCTCTGATTGCCTGCCAAGGACAAGGTCAGGGGTGTGAAAATAAAGAGCTGGCAGACATTTGAGAAAAGGGGTGCATCATATACATAAGTCCCCATGTCCCTCACGCTCCTGACACAGGATCTCACAGTGTCCCTAGCAGGGGAGCCTCCGGCAGGTCTGACCTTGAACAAGCTCAGGCTGTGTCCCAAGGCATGCCTGTCCCTCACTCATCCCTTGATATGCTTCCAACAGCCACTCAGTGTGGCTTGAAACCAACTAGGGGTATCTTCTGCTACAACTGGTAAATGAATACCCACCACAGATGGGTGGGGAAACTGAAGTGTCAGTGGATTACAGCCAAGATCAGAGGATGCTAATTAGAAGAGAGCTGAGAGCCATTTGCATGTATCCAGGCCTGACTGATCTTGGGTATTTACCACCATCCTATTTTTGAATCTCCTCAGGAGTTAAATTACATTGAGATGGGGCAGCCAGTCCTGGTGGGACAAGGGCAGCGTCTGACACCAAGCAGACTTTACTAGTACTGTGATTTGGGCTGGTCACCGTGGTCACTGGGCTTGGATTTCCTCACCTCTAAGAGGCTTAGTATGACCACAACTGTTACTTGCAATTGTATATGTAAAGTACTTGGGGTAGTGCCTGGCCACTATATACCCAGAATACCTGTCCCTGCCTCCTAACCAGGGCAACCTCTTCCATCCTTGGGACTGGGGTGGGAGGCCCAGAAGGATCAGCATTCAGTAACATCTTAGGATGCCTGCCGCTAATCTCAGTGAAGCTAGAAACAAGATGGTTATCAGAGACAAAGCAAAAAGCCCATCAAGGCTTGATTCCTCCCCCATGAGAGCCGTAAGCTCTTCTTTTATCTGAAACATCTTCCTGTTTCCATCCTAGAAATGCTGATGGGTAGCCAATAAGCCCGTTCATATGATGTGCACGCTCTCAATTTGGCTGATATAAGGGGTTCAACTAAGCCTTGGGCTTTGATGATCCTCATTTGCATTTTCAGATCCTCCCCCATCTGTCACTGGGGCAGCAGCAACCCTCTCTCCCAACCAGCTCAGCAGGATCAGGCCCTGGGGTGACCGTTCTTGGGCCCAGGATGCACAAGGAAGCAGAACCCTAGCTGGGCCTCCTGCAGCCTGGGGTGAGGGAAACTGAGCCCCCCTGGTTCTGCCTGGCAATTTCCTGACATGTCCTTTCCCTAGGCCTGCAGGTGCTACTGCCTGAGTACCTGCGTGAGCGCTTTGTGGCTGCAGCGCTGAGCTACATTACATGCAGCTCTGAGGGCGAGCTCATTTGCAAGGAGAATGACTGCTGGTGCCAGTGCAGCCCTACCTTCCCTGAGTGCAACTGTCCTGATGCGGACATCCAGGCCATGGAGGACAGCCTGCTGCAGATCCAGGACTCCTGGGCCACTCACAACCGGCAGTTTGAGGAGTCAGGTGAGCAGTCACCAGTCCCAGGTGTCCTTCCTGTTAATGGGAGGGGGATGTAAGGTGTGGGGCAAGATCATGGGAACTCAACTTGGATCCTGGCTCAGCCACCTCAAGCAGATTCTATCACCACTCTGAGTCTCAAGTCATTTCTGTCTCTTCTATATGCAAATGGGCATACTACGTACCAAAGAGATGTGTTTGAAGGACTTAGTAAGCTAATGAAATATAAGGGAGGCATAGGCTCTGTTTTGTATGCTATAGGTTCCATGGTGCCTAGAACAGTGCCTGCGCATAAGGTGCACAATAAATGGTTGCTGAATGAGTAAAGTGAATAGAAAAGTTCTAGGAGACCCAGACATGCTAGGTATAACTAATACCAATGTAACCTTGAGACCTAGATTCTGAAGGACTTGGTTTTGCATCCTTGCTCTGTGTTACAGTCTGTGTACCCCAAAATTCATGTTGAAAATCTAATGCACTCAGTGATGGTATTAGGAGGTGGGACTTTGGGGAATGATTAGGTCATGAATGGGATTAGTGCCCTTATAAAGGAGACCCAGAGAGATTTCTAACTTTTTCCACCATGTGAGGACACAGTGAGAAGTCAGCCATCTGCAGCCCTAAAGAGGGTTTCACTAGAACCTGGCCATACTGCAACCCCAATCTCGGACTTCCAGCATCTAGAACTGTGAGAAATAAGTTTCAATGGTTTATAAATCACCTAGTCTGTGGTATTTTGTTGTAGCAGCCCAAACAGACTAATGCACTCTGTTGCTGTCCAGCTTTATGACCTTATATTGGCCACACGGCTTCTCAATGCCTCGGTTTCCTCATCTGTTAGACAGAAAGTGATAATGACAGTTGGATAGAAGGCTTACAAGGGATAATTGAGATAAAATTAATGTGAAAAGAACTCTGCACAATTCTATTCATACATTTCAATACTAATGAATGCTAGTTATATGGATATATTTCAAAAGCATAATGTTAGATAAACCAGCAAGAGGAAGAGATATATACATATTTATATATAATATCTATATATAATGCTATAATATAATAATCTATTAAATATAATACACATTTAATATTATTTATATGGAGTTGAAGAACATGCTAGTGAATACTTAATATTTTTACAGATAAATACACTTGTAGAACACATAAAAATATGTGATAACGATAAAGAAAACATCCAAGAGAATGCCCACATCTCGATGGAGAAGTGGGGAAGTCTGGGGTATTCGAGCATATTTATTTGTCTTACTTCCTTTAAAAAAAATCTGAAACCAATATGGCAAAGGGCCAAATGCTAGGTAGTTGGCACATGGGAACTTATCCTGCTATTCTCCATACCCCTTTGTAGGTTAAATGTTTTATTAAACAGAATGATGCACATGATAGTTGTAAGTTGCACTACAGGAGTGATTCTCCACTTCTCTGCAGGGGATGCAGAACCAGATGCTTGAGAAGTCAGAATGAGCTGAGGCACCTGTCATTCCAAGTTCTAGGCAAGGCATTTAGCAGCTAAGAACATCCCACCCTAGTCTTCCAACCCCAGCTGCTATGGGCTACTGGGGATAGCTGTTCCATAACTTTTAAGTGTGCGGGAAATGACTTCGGGCTTTCACCACCATGAGTTGCTGCTGCTGAGTAAACAAGGACTCTCTGGATCTCCATCAGGAGACTGGTGGCTGCAGGTCCCATTAAAGCAGATGTGGACAAATCTCTGAGCATGAATTCAGAAAGCATGATGTGACCAGGAAGCCCGGAGAACATCTCAGACTGGCAGTAGGAGCTGAGAACCAGAAAGCACATTGCTTCTGGATTAGCTACAGGAAAGAATGGGTATCTGAGCAAGAGTGGAAGCTCAAAAAAAGGAAGTATATCCCAGAGTAAAAAAAATAAAATAAAAAATAAAAAAATAAAAGGATAGGGAGAGGGTGGCTGGTCTCAGAGACTGAAAGGCTTTTAGGAAGATTTCTCAGCTGGTGCTCTATCCTCTCTGTGTTCCCATTGGTTAGTCAGTTCTGGGCCATCGACACCAACCTCCAGCACTGCTACCAGCAGTGGGGAGCCAGCTTGAAAGGGCTGTTCACCCTTAAGAGTGCCGCATTTTCCATAAGGGTGCTGTGGTGTCTTTAAAGATTGACCTCAGACTGCATTGTGAATGACTTACAAGGAAGTAGAAAGGGGAAAAGGATATGTCCAAGGCCATTGGCCCCTTGGGGATATCAGAGATCTGTCTTGAAATTGAGAAGCATATTAAGGACAGGAAGGATGGGAAAGAATCCTGAAGCCATATTTTATGGTATATTAATTACTTCTCTATAAAGCTATTGAAAAATACATAAATAAAGGGTCTGGGAGAAGAATGGCTGCGAAGCCAGTGACTCTGAAGGGCTGGGGAGCAACCACCTGCCCCTCTGGGGGTGTGCATGGACCCCCTCAGCCCTGCCTGTGTCCTTGCCCACAGAGGAATTCCAAACCCTGCTGAAAAGGCTGCCTGACGACAGGTTCCTGAACTCCACAACCATCTCCCAGTTCTGGGCCATGGACGCTGGCCTCCAGCACCGCTACCAGCAGCTGGGAGCCAGCTTGAAAATGCTGTTCAAGAAGATGCATCGGATCGTCAGCCGGCTCTTCAACCTCTGCAAACGCTGCCACCGGCAGCCTCGCTTCCGTCTGCCCAAGGAGCGGTGAGCACCCCAGGCCCCAGAGCCAGTGCTTGGTACCTCCCCAACAGCTAAGGCCAGGGAGGACCCTCTGCCCAACATGGGAGACCCAGCAATAGGGAGCTACACACATGGCTTTTTAGATGCTCCTGTTATCTTGACTTACTCATGTGTCATCCTCAACTATGAGATGTACCTCAAGTGAGTGAGTGAAAAAAAGAGAGGCTAATTGGACTTTTATATATAAATGATGGTAGAATCAAATGTTATCCTAATAATACTCCTATTCTCACTTATTTCCATTTTGATAAGACTTCTAGGAAAGAAAGGGGGGAGTCAAAGCTCATACACCAATTGCTTGGGATGAGAACTACACACATTGGATTATTTTGAACAGGTGACTGCTCCAAGTCACAAGAGAAAAGAGAGCTGGGGTCTCATGTCCTCGGGGACAGAGTGGGGCTGTATCTTAGGCACTCACTCATTCATCTGCTCATTGAATCATTTGTTCAACAAGTTTTTATTAAGTCCACATTGCATGTGCTGTGATTAAGCTGTGGGGGACATTTGGGAAGACTGAAAAAATATACAGAAACATAAAAACTGAAAAATTGCAGCTATGTGGCAGCCACTCAAAGCCACTTCACTTCATGCTCATGGAGCGTAAAGAAAAAACATGGTCTAGCAAAGGCCAGAGAGAAAAGCCACCATGGGGAAGGAGGAGCGGCCAGGCTGTAAGGGAGATGGAAAGGCGGGTGCATGTGAGCCGGGCATTCCAGGAGAGGGAGCTGCCCTGGCAACAAACCAGAGGCGCCACTCTACCCGAGGCACAGGTGAGAAGGAAGAGGAGGGGGGGGTGCAGGCCAGCAAGGGTTTTCAAGACCAATTCATTTCTTTTTCAACAAATAATTATCAAATATATACTGGGCACAAGGAACAATTCTAGCTCCTAAGAACACGTTGGCGAATAGCACAGTGTCCCTACTCTCAAGGCATCTGCAAGGAAGCCATCCATGAACAAGTCAGCACCAAAAGAACACAATAATTTTCGATCCTGATCACTGCTGTGGGTTCACAGAAACAGGGTGACGAGACAGAGAGTGACGGGGCGGTTCTTCTGAAAGGGAAGTCTCGGAAGACCTCTTTGAGGAGGCATTATCACAGAGCTGAAATTTTTTAAAGGAGCCATGTTAGAAAATTCCTATTCTTGGTGGAAGAGTGAGAGAAGCAGAGGGAACACAAAGGACAGCGACTAAGAAGTGGGGAGGAAGTCGGCAGGATGTTTGAAAGTGGAGAGCCGGCTGTGAGAAGATCTTATTTAGGAGGCTGGAAGCCAGATTTGACACAAAAGATGGGGCAGAGCTTCTGTAGGCTTTTGAGTGAGGGAGTGAGGCAGTACCTGGGAGGGATGAGCTTGGCGGCTTCCACTTCAAGGTTGATGTCAAATATTTCTGGGGCAGATCTGTCAGAACCTGAGTCCCAGGCCCTAGTCAGTAGGGTTTCCATCTTTTAGAGAATGTGGGCCTTTAATTTCCTGAACGCCTTCCCTGTCTGCTGGTCACTGTCCTGGTACCCTCAGGGAGGATGGCGGTGTGTGGCTTCCTACGACTCTTGCTTCATTTCTGTCTCCTCTCCCAAAGGTCCTTATCCTTCTGGTGGAACCGAATCCAGTCCTTCCTCTACTGTGGAGAAAGCACCTTCCCTGGCACCTTCCTGGAGCAGAGCCACAGCTGCAGCTGCCCCTATGACCAATCTTCCTGCCAGGGCCCCATCCCATGTGCCTTGGGTGAAGGGTCTGCCTGTGCCCACTGTGCCCGGGACAACAGCACACGCTGTGGGGGCTGCAACCCGGGCTACGTGCTGGTCCAAGGGCTGTGCCGGCCAGAGGTGGCTGAGTCCCTGGAGAACTTTCTGGGGCTGGAGACAGACCTGCAGGACCTGGAGCTGAAGTACCTGCTGCAGAAGTGGGACAGCCGCATCGAGGTGCACTCCATCTTCATCAGCAACGACATGCGCCTGGGCAGCTGGTTTGACCCCTCCTGGAGGAAGCGCATGCTGCTCACCCTGAAGAGCAATAAGTACAAGCCTGGGCTGGTGCATGTGATGCTGGCCCTGTCCCTGCAGATCTGCCTCACCAAGAACAGCACCCTGGAGCCCGTCATGGCCATCTACGTCAACCCCTTTGGAGGCAGCCACTCTGAGAGCTGGTTCATGCCCGTGAACGAGGCCCACTTCCCGGACTGGGAAAGGACTAACGTGGACGCGGCTGCCCAGTGCCAGAACTGGACGATCACCTTGGGAAACAGGTGGAAGACCTTCTTTGAGACAGTCCATGTTTACCTACGGAGCCGAATCAAGTCCCTGGATGACAGCTCCAATGAGACCATCTACTATGAGCCCCTGGAGATGACAGATCCCTCCAAGAACTTGGGCTACATGAAAATCAACACCTTGCAGGTCTTCGGCTACAGCCTGCCCTTTGACCCAGATGCTATCCGGGACTTAATTCTCCAGTTGGATTACCCATACACTCAAGGCTCCCAGGACTCTGCCCTCTTGCAGCTCATAGAGCTTAGGGACCGGGTTAACCAGCTTTCTCCACCTGGCAAAGTCCGGCTGGACCTTTTCTCCTGCTTGCTCCGGCACCGGCTCAAGCTGGCCAACAACGAGGTGGGCAGGATCCAGTCCTCCCTGAGGGCTTTCAATTCCAAGCTGCCAAATGCTGTGGAGTATGAGACAGGCAAACTCTGTAGCTAATGGGGTGTGGAGGGGGGGGCACTTCAGTGCTGGACAGGGAGGGGATCCATGCATCCAGGCACTCACCTTGGTGCCAACAAGGTGCTCCCTTGAGACTCTGCATCCAGCAGATGAGACCTCGGGGAATGGACTGACACAGGCAGGAGAGAAAGAAACAGCCACTGCACATGCACACACGCCGCGGGTGTGCGCGCACGCTCCCTCGGGGAGGCTACAACTCAGCAGCCTTGTGTCTGTAAAGTCGGTGCTTTCCAAAATGAATGCAGTTGAAGGAGAGGAGCCAAGGGAGAGATTAAGAAAAAGAACCAGCCAAACCATGAAACAAACAAATCCTTAAAAGTGATTCTTATCATTCAAGGAAGCAAGAGGGGACAAACGGAAGGGGTGGAAGCTCCTGCTCCCCCTCTGTGGAGTCACTTTTGTAGTCTTTTTGACCAGGTTTCTTGGTGTTTCGTGATTCCCACACTGGCTCCTACTTTTTGTACTCTGCCTCCTCTGAGCCCTCCTGGACGCTGACTGCTCCTCCAGGCAGCTCCTTTAGGAAACAGGGGAAGTGACACCAACTGAGGACACTCAGGGTGGGCAGGCGGTCTTGCTCCCCCTTCACCTTCCTCCCTCCCCCCTGGTCCCCTGGCTTCCTGGGCTACTCCAGTTTTGGGGCCTGGCTTGTTCCATGTCCCCACCCTGGTCCAGCCAGAGCTCCCTTCCTACCGCCCCCAATCTGTCCAAGAAAGCAGCTGTCCAGTCAGAGAGATGATGTCTAGGGAAATGTTCTTTTTTAAAAACAAAAACAAAAATATTTATTTTGTGATTGTTTTCCTTGTCAATCTGCTCCAGCCACATGAACATATGAGTAAAAAAAATTTAACTGATTTAATATATATTTTTAAAGACCTTTATTAGAGGGAAAATGAGAGAGAAAAGAGGAAAAAATAGTATAGTTTCCTGGGTTGCCTGGATTTTTTTATTGCTCTGTGGGTGACACGTGGGTGTCCTTAGATGGTGGATATTGCTGTGTGAGAAGCTGGTTGACTAGTATATACACAAGTGAATGCATGCCTATCTTGACTGGGTGTGAGGTGTGTGTGTGTGTGTGTGTGTGTGTGAGAGAGAGAGAGAGAGAGAGAGAGAGAGAGAGAGAGAGAGAGAGAGAGAGAGAGAGAGAGAATGAGTAAAGATTGGAATGAGATGGAGTAAGGCAGAATTCTCCCAGGTAATCTGGCTTCCCCTCTCCCTTTTCCCAGGAGTGAGGACTAACACGGGTTGTACACTATCAGGAGAATGAAAGTCTTTGCTCTTTAGGGGAACTGCAGCCTTTATGCTGGGCAAATGCTAGCTAAAGGGGGGACCTCTGCTTACACTGCTGCGGACATCAGGAGAGTTTTCCACACTCTGCATCTTAAAGTCTGGGATCGCCCTTTGAGGACACTGGGAAAGATGCAGACTTGGCACGAGTTTCCTCCATTCGGTCTGATCACCACCTTCCCAGCCTGAAAAGCAGGTTTGACATACGCCACACAGGGCAGTGCCTCTTCTCTCCTTAGTGCCTTCCCCAGGAGGTATGGAAATCACTTCACAGCAAATCTTTTAAAGAACCATGTCTCTCTGTCTATTCCCCACATGCCCTGAGCACAATGTGTAGGCATGACAACCCCCATTTTATTCAAGCGGAAGTCACCACATAAATACTAAGTACCTCATTCTGTACCTGTGGTACATCTCAGTTGGTACAAAATGAACTGGGAGACAATGAGAGGATGGCCATGTCTATCTGCCCAAGAGCTTCCATGTTTGTCACTGCATAGAGAAGAATCCAGCATTTTATTTAATACCTGAACCATCTCTCTGTTCACGAGGACCTGAAATCCCAGGCAGATAAGAAGCCTAGGGCATTTCTTTCTTCACAACTCCCTGAAGTCTTCTAGGCTGGGAATGCAGAGTGATGGATGAACTAGGGACGAACAGTTATTGCCCATTTCTAGTTCAGCCACTACTTGCTTGGGGGTGGGAGGGTGTCTCAAGCTCTTTGTCTGTGGGATATGGAACCAGCAGATCATCTTCATCAATAGGGCTGTGGATGTACCAAGACTGCTTCTAGAAGGCAGATGGAAGAAAAGGAAGAAATAAAGAATGGACAGGATTCCTGAAGGGGCTGTTAAAGACTTAATACCATGAATTCAGCATAGAATTTCTCAAAAAAGCTAGGCTAAGAAATGCCATAATAATAAAAGGATGCCACTGGTCAAAATTGTCACTTTCAAAGTCTATAGTACCCAGATGATAGGAAACAACTATTCCCAGATATAGTCACAAATAAAGAATTGTCACTAATTAATAGTGGATTGTCAATGTTGGTGAACTCCCTGTGGAATTAAGAGTCAAATCACAGTTCAGTTACTGGCTATAACAATCAGGAATTCAAGCCTTAATTGTCACCCTAAAGAACTAATACATCAAATGTAATCTGTTCTAATGCTTGAGACTAATACCTCTAATACTAAATAATATATTTAATGCCTGCTGCTAATAATATAATGCCATGCTCTGCAGGCCTACTCACACTCACACAGCCAAAAACGTAAATGAAGTCTGTTTCAAATACTGGGTATCACACATAGTTCACATACAGTTCTTGGCTTCTTTTCACAAATATGAAAACAGTCATCATGATGGGCAGAGCCGCCTTATGTGTAGATGGAATGCATTGCTACGTGATGTCCTGCCCCCAAATATCATCGACAAAGTCTGTAATTCCATCATGCAAGTCTATTCTCTTGCACAAGAGGGGTCTTCCTTTTTTTGCCATTATGTTTCATATGAAAACAAAAATGCCCTTAGAAGGAAATAAATCTTAGAAGTTAACCCACTGGCAAAAGAGAGGATGCAATTTTTGGAGTTGGAAGGTTTTTAGAGGTCATTCAGTCAACTCATTTCTGATGTGAGGAAGGAGAGGTGACAGAACTTGCCTAAGCTTCTATGTATTAGCAGAACTGGTAATAGCACTGAATCTGCTTTTTTCTCTACCTCTCTCGCTAGTACATCTGGGTGTTGGGAGATGACAGGCACCCAGTGTGGGGCTTAGGAGTGTGAGGGTGGAGGAAAGGTGATTTCCCTGGAAGAAGAGGACTACTTAGAGGTGGGAAGAGCTTCACATCTTTCCCTGGTATTGGTTCTAGCAAAAGTAACCAGCTTCTCTAACAGGCAATAGAAAAAGACTGAAGTTTCTCCCGGGACAAGCTTTCAGCACAGCCTAGACATATTTCCATCCAGGTTGGATCTCCTTACTGGATTCCTGATGACTCTATCAGCTACATGTTTTTTAATTACAATATCCTGCCTCTAATTTATTGATGTTTTCTATAGATCACCAATTAGAGTTTGAATATCTTTGCAAATCTGCGTAACAACTTTGTGAAGGCTAGAGGTATCCGGGTACCATCAACACCAAAGGGCTTAGGTGGTGCAGTCAGCATGTCAAGTGTATGACTGGAGTCTAGGCCATGGCAGAGAAGGGGAATGAGGCAAGTTCTGCTGTACAGAGTTCTCCTTCTAGCAGTAGAGTGAGCATGTGGGCCAAAAAAGCTACCCAAGACAAAGCTGTGGCTGGCACTCCTGGACTGGAAGGACAGGTGGAAAATTCAGATAGTGTGACTGACTGTAGACACACACCTTTCTTCTGGTTCTGCCTTCAGCCATCTCTACACCCGTGAGCAAGTCATTCCACTTCTCCCATTTTGCTCCTCTGTGTATGAGGGAGTTGGATATTCTACCCAGGTACTGGGGGTCCTTCTGGTACTATCCCTTTAAAAGCAGTATGACCCAGGCCAGACTGGTTTGGCTCAGTGGATAGAGTGTCAGCCTGCGGACTGAAAGGTCCCAGGTTCAATTCCAGTCAAGGACATGTACCTTGGTTGCGGGCACATCTCCAGTAGGGGTGTGCAGGAGGCAGCTGATCGATGTTTCTCTCTCATCGATGTTTCTAATTCTCTATCCCTCTCCCTTCCTCTCTGTAAAAAAATCAATAAAATATATTTAAAAAAATAGTATGACACAGGAGACAGTCTGGGAAGTTGGACAGACCTGGATTTGCATAGAGGCTCCACATTTATATTTAAGTGACCTTAATTCTTGACCTGTCCCCTTATCTGTAACCCAACTACTTCATGCCCACCTCCTTAAGATTTTTCTTTTTTTTTCTCTTTCTGAACACTTACCTCCCTGCACACTTTTGCTCTATACTCTCCACAACCCATGTATATCTTCAATTCTCCAAACATCAAGCCTGTTTCTTCTCTTTCTCCTTCCCTCCTTCCTACTTTCCTTCATTCATGTTTTAAGTGCTAGGCACTAGGCTAAAGTGTAGGGTATTGAACACTCTTTGAAACATGCTTCCAGGCCATGAAGAATTGCACAATATAATGTGGGGGGTGGGGTGCATACACAAATCAGAGAGGTGCATTCTCTAGTAGAGATGTACAAAGTACTGATGATGCACAGAAAAGTCACTCCCTGGAAGAGACACTAATGGCACTTACTGTGAACCTCCTAGAACTATAGAAGCAACACCCCTGATGTTTTACATCAGATGTTTTACATCTCAGTGGAGGGAAAGACTAACATATAACATGTGCATCCTTCCCAGAGAGCAGAAAAGTGCAAGGATGGCAGCAGAGCCCCACTGAAGTCACACGTTATGTCTGGTCGGTGCCCTTATTTCTAACTCCTGAACCCCATGTCAGCACCAAGGCATTCAGTTTAAGGCATGCTCAAGGGGCTGCCATGGGAGGTCTGTTTAGTAGCAGAGCTGCTTCCACCTCTTGAGAGTACAATGGTCTCAAAAGAGTGCTTCCTGACTTAAACGTGCATATGATTCACCTGCAGATTCTGATTCAGCAGGTCTGGGTGAGGCCCCAGATTCTGCACATCTAACAAGCTCCCAAGTGATGCTACTGCTGCTGGTACGTGGACCACATTTTCAGAGGCAAGTTTCTTAGGGAGTCTGCCTATTAGCTTCCTGCAGCATCAGCACTCTAAAGCAGGAGCCTCCCAGAAGCACGGGGGTTGAGAAACAGAAAGGTTAATCATGTCTGGCTAGGAGGTGAGGACCTCACTTATGAAAATCTTGATGCTCTACTGGCCTTTCATCTTTCAACCAATTAGGAGCCAGGTGTCTAACCTCTATGTACCAATAGAGCAAAAAAGCAGAGAAGGGAGAAAAGAAAGGAAACAACCAAATCAAAATTCTGTGGACTGAGAGCTAGCTTGCTTATGAATGCGTTTACAGCAGAGCAGTCCCACCGACCGGCTAAATCATGCTGGCAGAGTAAAAGGTCTTTTTTCCCTAAGCCTATCAGAGTAAATCTGTTCAGAAGTGGGAGAGGGAGTACCTGCCACTCTGTGGAAACACATCAGACGAGACAATTAAATTTATACCAGCAATGCGCAAGCACCCAGAGGCCCCAGACTTCAGACTGCACCTCCAGGCACCTCATCTAAGAAATAAAATGAATCACTTTTGTTTTCAGCTCTGTCCTCCTCCCCTTCAGCCTGTATGATTATTACTACCCTTGCATCATTAATAAAAATAGCCACTGGAATTTATGGAGGGTCATTCTTCCAAGGATCTCAGAACTTGGAGGAATAAATCAATCAATGTTATTTATTGAGCATTTTCAGCCAGTAGATGTGAGGAATAAAGCACACATGTATTTAGTAGGCACACTCCCTTAATTCAAAATTTTTGCAGATGACTTAAAAAGTGAAACTTGGGTAGGGAAGAAGCTGTACAGCTAAGTGAAAACAGAAGCTGGACTTAGAATGCTTTGTGGAGTCAGACTACCTTGGTTCAAATCCCGTCTCTGTCATTTACACACTGGGAGAAGCAGGATATGTCATCAAATCTTTTTCAGCCTCAGTCTGCACATCTGTGTAAGAGGGACAATAGCAGTGTGTATAGCATAGGTTGTTGTGATGGTCAAATAAGGAAAGACATGTAAAGGATCTCGACAGGTTCACAGTACATGCTCAGTAAGTGTGGGTTGTTTTTAATGCATTAGATACTTTCTATGTTTGGGGAAAAGGAAAGGGAGGGGAAGGAAATAGAAGCAAAGGAAAAGCAAAGAAATATCCATGTTATTCACTTGCTGAAGAAACCTCTTCCTTAACAAAGAGACATTTATCGCCTGGGCCATTACAGAAGGGTCATTCGATAATATAATGGAAAAGGTCTTCAATTACAATTTTGTGGCAGACTTAGATAAGCCATTCAAATGGATATTTTTATACAGACCCTCCATAAAAGCAGAGAATAAAATATTATAACATCACTCCTCACCAAAATGCCCGTGGCTGGCTAGGTCGTGTGGCCCAAGCGCATTGTTTCTGATGATGTAACTTATTACTGTGATCAAGCCTGGAGTACCTAAGCCAATGGCTAGTTAATGTGCCCATTAGACTGTCCCTTTCCAATAGTGCATATTAAGTGCACTTTTAGCAAATTCCAGATTGCAGTCAACTCCTGGTTGAATTCTTTGATGAGGAGCCAGGGCGTAGTACTAACATACGTTTTTTAGATACAGACATGAGGGAGGCAGAGTTTTTATTCCAGTTGTATTAGAAGTATAAGACTTGGGTAGGCAGAAAGGTGGAGAAAATGTTCTAAGAAGAGCATATATCTGGGCACATATTCAAGGACATGATGAGGGTTCAGCTTAATGTTCACATTCTAAACCCGGCCTCCTGGGTCAATGCCCTTCACTTTCTTCCTTCTTCTTTGTCAAATAGCAGCTTTATTAAGATAGGATTCATATACCATAAAGTTCACCCTTACTTTAAAGTGTACAATTCAGTAGTTTTTATTCAAAAGGGTGTGCATCAATCACCACTATCTAATTCCAGAACATTTGCATCGCCCAAGAAGGAAACCCTATGCCCATTAGCAATCTCTCTGTATTCCTCCCTAACTCCCAGTCCTTGGCAACCACTAAATCTACTTGCTGTCTCTATGGAGAGGCCTGTTCTGAACATTTCATATAAGTGTGATCATACAATATATATGATGCATAAACATCATATGATTTACAAATACAAATATTTTCTCCCACTATGTGGATTTTCTTTTCATTTATTTGATAGTGTTTTTTTGAAGCACAACAGTTTAAAATTTTGATAAAGTCTATTTTTTTCTTTTGCTGCTTACTTTTGGTGTCCTGTCTACACATCTCCTGCCTAATATCACACAGATTCATGCCTATGTTATCTCCTAAGAAGGAAGTGTTTTAGAAATGCAAAAGAAAGAAACTCTAAGAAGAAGGTTCAGAGTTTTAAAAAAGTTTTAAGAGTCCCAGCTTTTACATTTAGGCCTCTGATACATTTTGAGTTAAATTTTGTGCATGGTGTGAGACAGGGGTCCAACTTCTTTCTTTTGCATGTGGATATCCAGTTGTCCCAGCACATTTGTTGAAAAGACTTTTCTTCCCCCAAGGAATTGTCTTGGCACATGTATCAAAAATTAATTGACAACAATTGTATGGCTTGATATCTGTACTCTCAATTTGATTTGATGTATCCATATGTCTCTCATTATGACAATACCTCACTGTATTTATCACTGTAGCTTTGTAATAAGTTTTAAAATTAGGAAATATATAACTTCCAACTTTGTTTTTCCATATCAAGATGTTATGGCTATTCTGGGCCTCTTGTATTTGCATATGAATATAAGGTTCAGCTTGCCATTTTCTGCAAACAAAAAGGCAGCTGGGATTTGATAGGGATTGTGTTGAATCTGTACATCAATTTGGGGAGTACTGCCATCATAACCATGTCTTTTGATCCATAAATATGGAACATCTTTCCATTCAAATCTTTAACTTCTTTTAATGGTGTTTTGTAGTTTTGGGCCTTAAAAGTTTCACACTACTTTTGCTAAATTTATTTATAAGTATTTTATTATTTTTATGCTATTATAAATGGAATTGTTTCCTTCATTTCATTTTTGGATTGTTCACTGTGTATACAACTACAATCGCTAAACTTGATTTATTAGTTCTAACAGTTATTGTTTTTTGGTGTGGATTCCTTAGAACATTTTTTATACAGGAGCAACTCATCTCCAAATGTAGTTTTACTATTCCCTTTATTCTTAATGACTCGACCCCAACCAATGCTTTCTTGCTCTTGCTGTGAAGATTCATTCTTGCTCTTGCTGCCTCCTGTGGGGCCAGGAGGACTTCCCCTTTATGCTCTGACCAGGAGCACTTGAGAAAATTATTTTACTCTGGAGTCAGGTTGGCCTACAGAAAAAGATATCTCTCTTAGCATTATCTGTGGATACATAAAAGCATCCAAAAGCTAAAATGATGAAAAGGTGAGAATAATCAATAATCCAGGTGTTTGTTCATAGCCCATCTCCAAAGTTTTTAGCTGCCTTCAAAGACCATTCAACAGCAGTGGTAACTGAATCAGCCTTAACAAATTAGAACACATCCTGGCTGCCATGGCTATTTAGTTCACACTCTCACTGGGCCGGCACCAGAGTGGCCAATGACAAATATTGGCTTTTTCACCAATTGGCCAAGTCATTCTGCCTAGTTGTTCAGTAGCTCTTCCATGGTAGGTGTTTTCTGCTGAACGTTAACATACAGTTTGAAAATCTTCATGCTTCCACTTCCATAGATCCATCCACATGTCTTTTTACTAGACTTCCTTGTCTCTAATCTGCCAATATTTCTCCTTCCAGGGCCTTGACCAACCAATCATGCCATTCACCACTGCCCATGAGTTCATCTATATATATATATTTTTTCACCTCAA